GAGAGAGGTGGTGAGTGCTTTGGGAGGAACGGTTGGTGAAAGGACTGGAGGGAGGCAGCATGTTTGGCCTTGCAGTAATAGGCCTTGGGTTACTGCTGTCTTCCTCTTGTGAGATTAGAGGAGGTCAGAACATGTGGCCTCCTTGTTGTTTTTGCACAGGGAATGTTAGACTTACCTTACCAGTAGCTATGAACTTACAGATGAATAAAGTGAAACCAAGAAAGAAAAGTAACTTTGTCCAAATTCTCATAACTCCCATATGTGAGACACAAATGAGCCAAGCTAAGTTCTGAATTGGTTACCATGCCTCATTCACTTTTAACATGCAAGTCAGTAGAATGGTTACCCCTACCAACCCTAGAGCTGCCTCCTCAAAATAGAGTTGACCTTAATGACATAGATGGAATAAAGCTTTCAGGACCTTTATTTGCTAATGGGACATGACTGAAAATGGGAAGAAACAGCTGCAAACATCCATTAACAATCAGAACATGGAATGTATGAAGTGTAAATATAGGAAAATTGGAATTTCTCAAAAATGAAATGGAACACACACAGACCAATATCCTAGGCATTACTGAGCTGAAATTGCCTGGCATTGGCCATTTTGAATGGTATACTATGCCACGAATGACAAATTTAAGAGGAATAGTGTCACATTCATCATCAAAAAGAATATTTCAAGGTCTATTCTGAAGTACAATGTCAGTGATAGGATAAATCCACATCCGAATCAGGAGACCAGTTAATACCACTATTATTCAAGTTTACACACCAACCACTAAAAACAAAGATGAAGAAATTGAAGATTTTTCCCAACTCCTGCAGTCTTAAATTGACCAAACATGCAATCAAACATGTATTGATTACTACTTGTGTGGTGGTTATGTTTGTGTGTCAACTTGGCTGGGCCTGGTTGAGTAGCTAGGCAGCTGGCGGTAGTTATTCCCCATGATGAGACTGGCAATCAACTCCAAGGTGGGATCTACCACAAGCAGCTGAGTAGCTGCCCTTGCAATGTGGTCTGCTTCCTATATATAAGGAGAAGCCTTAGGGATAGTCTCTAGCTTATGGTATGCTTGGGCCATGCATGTAGCTGTGTCATTTTTCAACAGCCTGCCATGCTCTGCCGACCTTGGAACTTACAATGGACTTGAATTAATGGCCTGCCATGTGGTTTGGTAGCATTGGGACTGTGCCATTTTATTTGTCAACTTTGGGCTTGTTAGCCTCAGCAGCCAGTAGCTGTCTGAGTGGAGAGATGCCTCTAGCTTCAGTGGGCCAGGAGCAAGAGGCAGAGCTGAAGCCCAAGGTCAAGGGGCTTTCACACAGCCCCTAGAGCCTGGTACTTTGAACTTGGACTTCTAGCGTCCTGAACTGTAAGAGAATAAACTCCTGTTTGTTAAGTCCACCCCATTTGTGGTATATTTTTGTCAGAGTGGCACTGGGTCACCAGAGCAATTGCTGATTGGAATGCAAATGTTGGAAACAAAGAAGAAGCATCAGTAGTGGGAAAATATGGCTTTGGTGATAGAAATGATGCTGGAGATTACATGACAGAATTTTGCAAAACAAATGACTTAATCATTGCAGATATCTTTTTTCAACAACATAAACAACAGTTGTACCTATGGACCTTGCCAGATGGAATGAATATGTAAGAATCAGATTGACTACATCTGTGAAAAGAGGTGATGAAGAAGCTCAGTATCTTCAGTCAAAACAAAGCCAGGAGCTGACTGTGGAACAGACAATTTATTACTCCTATGCAAGTTCAAGTTGAAGCTGAATATAATTTTAAAAAGTCCACAAGAGCCAAAATATGACCTTGATTATATTCCACCTGAATTTAGAGATGATCTGAGAATAGATTTGACATATTGAACACCACTGTCCAAAAACCAGACGAGTTGTGGTATGACATCAAGAACATCATATATGAAGAAAGCAAAAGGTCATTAAAATACAGGAAAGGAAGAAAAGACCAAAACAGATGTCAGAAGAGACTCTAAAATGTGCTTTGAATGGAAAGTAGCTAAAGCGAATGGAAGAAATGATGAAATAAAAGAGTTGAACAGATTTCAAAGCGCAGTTCAAAAAGGCAAAATAAAGTAATATAATGAAATTTGCAAAGACCTGAAGTTAGAAAATCAAAAGGGAAGAATATGCTTGGCATTTCTCAAGCAAAAAGAACTGAAATAAAAATCCAAGCCTCAAGTTACAATTTTGAAGGATTCTATGGGCAAAATATTGAATGATGCAGGAAACGTCAAAAAAAAAAAAAAGATGGAAGGAATGCACAGAGTCACTGTACCAAAAAGAATTGGTTGATGTTCAACTATATTAGGACATAGCATATAATTAAGAACTAATGGTATTGAAAGAAGAAGTCCAAGCTACACTGAAGGAATTACTGAAAAACAAAGATCCAGGAATTGACAGAATACCCATTGAGATGTTTCAACAAATGGATGTGACTCCGGAGGTGCTTACTCATTTATGCCAAGAAAGTTGGAAGACAGCTACCTAGCTAACTGACTGGAAGACAGCAATGCTTGTATCCATTCCAAAGAGAGGTAATCCAATAGAATGTGGAAATTATCATCAGACAATATCATTAATATCACACACAAGTAAAATCTTGCTGAAAATAATTCAAAAAGGGTTGCAGCAGTATATTGACAGGGAACTTCCAGAAACGCAAACTGGATTCAGAAGAGGATATGAAATAAATTGCTGATGTCAGATGGATCTTGGCTGAAAGCAAAGAATCCCAGAAAGATGTTTACCTGTGCTTTACTGACTATGCAAAGGCATTTGATTGCGTGTATCATAACAAATTATGGGTAACACTATGAAGAATGGGAATTCCAGAGCACTTAATTGTGTTCAAGAAGAACCTGTACATAGACCAAGAGGCTGTTGTTTGAACAGAACAAGTGGATACTGCATGGTTTAAAATGATGAAGACTGTGTGTCAGGGTTGTATCCTTTCACCATACTTATTCAATTTTTAGGCTGAGCAAATAATCCAAGAAGCTACACTATAAGAAGAAGAATGCAGCATCAGGAAGAATAATTAACAACCTGCAATATACACATTAAACAATCTTGCTTGCTGAAAGTGAAGATGACTTGAAGCACTTACTGATGAAGATCAAAGATTGTAGCCTTCAGTATGGATCACACTTGAACATAAAAAAAATGAAATTCTTCACAACTGGACCAATAAGCAGCAAGATGATAAATGGAGAAAAGGCTGAGGTTGTCAGGGATTTCATTTCACTGGGATTACCAGTCAATACCCATGGAAGCAGCAGTCAACAAATCTGATGTATTGCACTGCGAAAATCTGCTGCAAAATACCTCTTTAACTGTTAAGAAGGAAAGATGTCACTTTGAAGACTAAGGTGTGCCTAACCCAAGCCATGGTATTTTCAATCACCTCATATGAGCGGGACAATGAATAAGGAAGACCAAAGAAGAGTTGATGCTTTGAATTGTGGTGTTGGCAAAGAATGCTAAAAATACTATGGAGCGCCAGAAAAACAAAACAAAACAAACAAAAAAAAAAAAATGAAACTCACTGCCGTCAAGTAGATTGTGACTCATAGCAACCCCTCCTTGGGTTTCCAAGGTGGTAGAACGAACAAATCTGTCCTGGAAGAAGTGCAGCTAGAATGCAGCTTGGAAGTGAGAATGGACAAACTTTGTCTCACCTACTTTGGTCATGTTGTCAAAAGGGACCATTCCCTGGAGAAGGATATCATGTTTGGTAAAATGCAGGGTCAACCAAAAAGGGGAAGACCCTCAACAAAATGGATTGACACAGTGGCTGCAATGATGAGCTCAAGCATAGGAAGGATAGTGAGGACAGTGCAGGACCAAGCAGGGTTTTCTTCTCTTGCACACGGAGTCACCATGAGTGGGAGCTGACTCAATGGCACCTACCACCACCACCACCAGCCCTAGAGAGAATATAAATAAATGTATCAGCTTTTTTTTTTTTTTTTTTTTTTTTTTAATTTGCAATGTGGGCCTTGATTCCATGGAAATAGTGGTGCTCTGTGGGAGACATTCATTGTGTTGTTGATCAAGTTCCATCAGCTACCCTGGCATTTTTCTTCAGAGCATGCCAAACGTTTTCATATTACTCAGCTTCCAATCTTGTCCCAACCAGCCAGAGAGCCCCAATGAGGGCAGAGAAGAGAAATGTGAGCTACTGGGGAGCCTGAGCTTACAAAGGAAGGGACAGGCCAAGAGATAGCAGAGGAAGGCCCAGAAGGGCCTACATACTTTACACTTCCTAGCTCCCCAGCATCTTCCTCAAGGCCCTCGTTACCTCTCTGTTCCTCAGGCTATAAATGAGTGGATTGAGCATTGGGATGAGGATGGTATAGAAGATAGAAATGGCTCGGTCTCTAGCTGGTGTTCTTGAGGAAGTCTGCTGCATGTAACTAAATATGGCACCCCCATAGTAGAGCCCCACCACAGCCAGGTGGGAGGAACAAGTTGTTAGAGCTTTCTGTTTCCCCTCAGTGGTGGGCATCCTAATAACAACTATTAGAATCTGAGAATAAGAAGCCACAATGATCCCAAGGGGCACCAGGAGCATGACCACACAGCAAGCATACATGAGGTCCTCAAAGAGTGAGGTGTCAGCACAAGAGAGACGCAGCACAGCAGGGACCTCACAGAAGAAGTGGTCCACCACTGGAGAGCTGCAGTAGGGGAAGCTGAAGACCATGCCCACATCAATCACACTGTCTGTCATCCCACCCATCCAGGAAGCCATGGCCATGAGAGAGCAGACCTTCCAGTTCATGAGCACATGGTACCGCAGGGGGTGGCAGACTGCCACATACCTGTCATAAGCCATGACTGCCAGGAGGAAGCACTCTGCTCCTCCTACCATGACCACTAGGAATATTTGAGCCCCACAAACTCCCTGAGAGATAATCTTACTGCCTGTAAGAAAGTTGGCAGCCATCTTGGGCACCACAGTGCACATCATGGTCAAGTCCATGATGGATAGCTGACTAAGGAAAAAGTACATAGGGATGTGCAGGCGCACATCAGCCTGGATGATAAGGAGGAAGAGAATATTGCTGGCTAGTGCAGCCATGGAGGCCAGAAAGACCAGGGAAAAGAAGAAGAAGTCATACGGTGTGTTGCTGAATAGGCCCAAAAGGATGAAGTTTGTTATGGTGGTGTGGTTCCAGAGTTCCATGGTTGGGACCCTGAGAAACAAACAAATAAAAAAAAAA